ACCCATCCCTGGGGCCCTTGCTGGGGGCCCAAAGGTCCGCCTCCCAGGCCCTCTGAGGAACCTCAGCCATCATTAACCAAAACGGGTTCCTGGGCACAGCAGCACCTGCGGTGTGTGGACAGGAGCAGCCGTCAGAGAGGCCCCGCCCCACCTTGTGCAAACCTTTGGTGAAGGAGCTCCCTCAGCGCCACTCCACCCAGCCGGCTCCACACACGCGTGACCACGAAACCCTCGTTCAATCCCCACCAACACTCCGCAGAATTTCAATTCCACAGAGCATGAACGGTGATGGCCAGTTACAAACAGCTCAGTGCTGGCCAGAGAGCTGAGGAGAACCCCAGCTCCCGACACTCCAGGCCCCTGCACCCCAGCTCCGTCTTACCACCGGCCCAGCTCCATGTGCCAGGGGCCTGAATGGGGCTTACCTCCTGCTAGGCCCCCCTGGGCCAATTGGGGACCCTGGTCTCTGCCAATGCAGCCCCTCCCCCCAGCTCCTCCAGGATGTCTGCCCACAGCCCCCCCTTTTCGCTCGATCTCCTGGGCCTGGCTGCCCTGTCCTGGGGGGCTGCATCGCCCATCTTCCGTCCTCTCCCAGCAGGGCAAGGCAGCAGGCCCCCTGGGGACAGGACTGTCAGGACGTGGCAAGCGAGGGCAGAGGCTGTGAGAAGGGGCAGGAGAGAGGCGACCTGAAGCGCCGGCTGCACACGTGGCGATCCTCAGAGCCGGAATCCTGACAACGCAGGCAAGCTGATTCCACTTACCACCAGTGAGGAACTCAGCCTCAGGGACTGGGGAGAGGCCCTCGGAGCACACCCCTAAAAGGTCGGGAGGGGTGGAGATCAGGTCCCGCCTCCGCGTGAGGTGAGGGGGCATGTGGCCACGCCCCCGGGGCACCTGGCAGGGCCTCCACTGAGGACACGTGGGGGCACATGCAGAGTGCATCTCCGGGTGTCCAGCTACACAACTGCCGGGCAGCGTGAGAGGCCAAGGCAGGCTGGGATAAAGAGATGATGGTGCATCCTCAGGAAGGGATTCACACACACCAGGACACCCATGATGCACAAGAATAGTTCCCGATGTGCAAAATGTTTAAAATATAGTGACAAAAGAAGAAACTGCAGCACAAAGCAGTCGGTATGGGGGGACCCGGCCGGGCCCACGCGCTCCAGGGACAATGCAGGGTGCAGGGGGTGTGGACGGCGTGCCCACCCTCTGGCTGGGCTTCCATTTGCTGCTCTGTGACCGCCTGTCCTTTAAAGCATTTAGGCCTATAAATTCAGGAGGGCAAAGATCGCATCCCTTTATTTGCCTGGCTCAGAGTAGGGTCTGACAGGCTAGGAATGAATGACTGACTGAGTGAATCAATGAGTGAGTGAATGAATGGGTGTCTGAGCGAACAGGTTGTCAGGAGCAAACGCAAGGTCTAGGATTGGGCTGCTGGAGGGAGTGGGAGCAGCCAGGCCACAGGGCGGGGGACACTGAAGGCTGCAGAGGCTGGGCCTTGACTGGGCATGCGGGAGGCCAGGCCTGGTGCTGCGGCATGGCTGTGAGGTGGGGTGGGGGGTGGCCAGGCTGGTTCCTATGGACCTTGAGGCCCAGGCTCAGTGGCCACAGAGGGTCAGAGGCCAGGGCCACCAGGCTGGGGGTGGGCAGCATGAAATTCACTGACCAGGCACAGCCAAGAGCCAGGAGCCCTCAGGACCCCCATGACGGAGCCTGGGGGCGGAGGGGTCGCTCACACACACACAGACTCCCTCACACACTCGCACTTCGCTCACACACTGCCTCCTTCCCACACTCGCTGACACACTGATTCCCTCACACAAGCATGCTCTCCCTCCATTCGATTCACTGAGGGACTCCCTCCTCATGCTGTTCTCCTGACCCTTCCGGATGCACAGACTGAGGTTCCGTGGAGGCTTCCTGGCGACCGGCCCGGGAGAGCAGGAACGGCGGCCCTTGGGGGGGCTCTCTCTCCCCCACCAGCTGGCCCCTGCTGTGCTGCACCACCTGCCTTAGACGTCCATGCCACAAGGCCAAGAATTCAAGCCCAGGCAGGGCACGAGGAGGGGCCGAGGCCAGGGCTGAGCTGTCCATGGGGGCAGCAGAGGGAGGGGGAGGCCAGGGTCCAGATAGTGTGGGGGAGGCTCAGCAGCACATGCCCAGCCCCTCACAGTCTGTCACTTGAAACAAAGCACAGCAAACAAACCTGGCCCTGCCAAGGGCCTCGGGCCAGCCCTCAGCCTCCTAGGACAGGGGGACTTGCCCCTTGCCCTCCAGAGCTGCAGCCCACCCTGTGGTAGGGGTCTCCTACAGACCTCCACAAGCTCGCTTGCTTGTTCAGACTCTCCTCCCTCAGCCCTGTCCCCTACTCTCATCAATGACCACAGGGAGAGGGCCAGTCCCGACAGAAGGACCCCCAGCCAGCCGTTAATCTTCACATAGGGAAACTGAGGCTCAGGGCTTCTGCTGGCTCCCTGCTGGTGGGGGGCAGAGCACAGATGCTGCCCCAGCGTGGCTGTCCTCCACCTCCTGCAGGGCTCTCCCTCCCTCTCTGCCCCCCATTTTCCCACCCCCTCACTCTAACTTGCCTGTGTCTTCTATGGGCCTTCATTTCCCCATCTGCAAATGGGTAGGAGGGAGGGGTCTAGTTGGCAGTGCAAGAGTTCCAGGAGGACTGTCCTGCGTGGGAACTGCTGACAGGGTGGGTGGTAGTGTCCTGAGTATTCTGAAGGCAGAAGCACTGGGCTCAGACTCCTCGGGAACCTCGGCCTTGAAGTGCCCCCAACAACCCCTGAGGGAGGCCCAATTACTGGCTCGTGTCACAGGTGAGGAGACCGAGGCACAGAGAAGTGAACTGTCACATCCCAGGTTATACACGAATGCGTGGCTGAGCCAGGACCCACATGCAGGCCATTGTTCTCCTGCCATCCCACAGCCTGCAGCCAGGGGCTGGTGCTGACCACCACCTGCTCGGCCCCTCACATGGGCGCTAGCTCCTCCTCACCTCGACTGGAGCAGGAGTGGGAACAGTGCCCACTCTACAGATGGAAAGACTGAAGCTCAGAAGAGGGGCGTGGCCAGCCCCACTGGCTGCCCCATCATGGGGCCCAACCTCCAGCCCCCTCTCTGTCCCCACGCCACCCACATTCTATAAGGATAACCTGCTTGTTTCCATTCTATAGACAAGGAGACTGATGGTGGCTGGGGGAGCAGGTGGTGTGGCCCCGCCTCTCCGAGCCCTGGCCCCGGTCAGGAGCCTCACCACAGCGAGAGCGGGTCACCAGCACCCTTATCCCAGCTCCCCACACAGCCCCTGAGGCAACTGACACACCACAGAACCCCTCACTATGAAGGCTCCCGCCACAGAGAAACCAACGCACCGGGCACAGGGCCTTCCCGGGTCAGCCGCAGAGAGGGCACAGACCTGCCCCCGCTGGGCCCAGTGGCAGTGGCTGCTGAGCATGCAGGGGAGTCTGGCCTGCTTGTCATGGTGTTGACCTGGAGGTCTGAAAAGGGCCTTCCCTGCCCAGGTGAGCTCCAGCCCCCACGGCCGCCAGTGCCCAGCGTGGGGAGCGGGGGAGGGGCGGCCGGAGCCCCCTTGGGCACACCCTGGGCTGGATGCACTGAACTAGCCCCCAACACACGGCCCCATGCCCCTGCCTCAGATTGAGGCAGAACCCGAGGAGAGCCCACCTGGGCACACAGGGCCCCCCACACACCTGGAGGCAAAGAAATACACGCTGATATGCCCACAGGCACATATGGTCAGGCGAGCAGAGACACACACGTGCAGATGCACACCAAGTTACAGACACACACACACACAGGCCCAAGGGGCTGTGAAGGGGAGACACCCAGGACGTGAAGGCAGGCGGACAGAGGTGGGCCAGCTCCTGCAGCTGGTCTCTCACCCCTCTCTCTGTGAGCGCCGGCTGCCCAGAGCCTCCCCCCAACACGTGCGCATGTAGGCACAGGAGTGGATCCTGCTGAGGGGCCCCCGCATGTGCCAGGCATGGAGACCACAGTAGGCACGCTATGTGCATGCATGTGTGGCCGTGGGTGTGCAGGCGGGGGCGAGGACACAGATGCGTGCACCCTCAGTGTGTGTGCGAGTGCACACTGGGGCAGCCTGGCATGCGTGTGCACATGCGGTGTGCAAGCATGCAGCCCTTGTAGACATGTGCACGTGCAAGGAAACGTGTGTGCAGCCTGCGGCACCGTGGACATCAGCAGAGGAGCCCCGGTGGGCACCTGGGGACCACCCTCTAGGCAGGGCATGCCCAACGCCCCCCCCCAGAGGGAGGTCATCCCCCCCCCAGCCCCCACTCTCAGGACCTCACACCAGGTAGAGGGAGGGGTCCCACGAAGGCTGCCAGGGAGGGAGTGCTTCAAGCCCCACCACCTCTCCCCCCTCAGCGGCGGCCCACAGGGGCCCTCACGCTGCAGATGGTGGGTGCTTGGCTGCCTCCTCTCATCGCCCGCCCTGCGGGGGACAGCGCTGGGCCGGCCCCGCCCCCCACGCCCTCTACTGTCGCCAACGCCCCCATTCATCCCGCTGCGTCTTGACCCCAGAGAAATGAAAGGTCTTGAGCCGAGTCCACCGGGCAAGGGTGGAGACGGTCCGATACCCCGACACCTGCTCGGTAGCCACGTTTCGGCTAACCTGCTCATTAACCCCTTTGCGGTCGGGGCCCTCCGAGGCTAGACCCCGCCCTTCCAGCCGGCAGCCCCCACTCCAACCCCGGACCAGCGTCGGGAGCCACCCTGACCCGCGGCCCCCGGCCCCGCCGCCGCCAACTTTCCCGGAAAGCGGCAACTTTTTCTGCTGCCGCGGGCTCCGCCCTCCCGGGGCCGAGGCGCCCGCTGCCCCAGCCAGCGGGGCACTGCGGTGGCCCTCACGGCGCCCGGCGACCCTTCTGCCCGCTTGCCTCAGCCCCGGACGCGCCCTGCGGCTCGGGGAGGGCCGCCCCCGCCCACCCCTGCCGCCTGGCACTCACCTCCAGCGGACGCCCTCTTCATCTTAAGGGTCGGGTAGGGCGCGTCGGGGACCGAAAGTCGCGTCGGGGCCGGCGCCCGTCTCCCCGCGGCCGGGTCCGCATCCAGGCGTCGCCGCTCCGGCCCGGCCCGGCCGCGGGACAGGGCTGGG